TCAAACTGACTTATTATTATTACATAAACACAAAAAATGTACACACTTTTCAACATTAGCCTCTATTGAAATGAACGTGCGAAACGAGTGGCGGGCCGTTGCGACAAGAATTGTCCGTCGAAAATGCGTTCGGACAAGTATTGAATCGATTCAACTTAGCTTGAATCTTCTCGGCAACAATTGCAAATACTTTAAAACAGCTAATTAAGCGGATTTATCAATTGCTTTAATAAAATAAAAATAAAACATGATTTTTTTGATTAATTTAAATAAATCAGTGATTTTTGATTTTTTTAATAAAAATCAATTTTTGCCCAACACTGCTACGGAATAAACTCTGCCTCAAGCCGGAAAGGGGCCACAGGCTAGTTATAAACCCTGTAACTAATTGGTCAGCGAAGTAAATGCTTAGTTGCACCAATTCAGCAGTTTTAGTTTATAAGTACCAATTGTAATCTTAGCATAAGTTCAGTTATAAGTTATCAGTTGTCACAAGTACACTATTGCTGTAACTCGTCGTTCTGAAAATAAATCTTTCTTTAAAGGCTTTCCCTTGATTGAAGAATTTAACTGGCTTGGCTTTTTTTACACGGTTCTGAGCAAACGGGTCGACTGGTTACCGGGGTCGAAACGTAGGCGTTTTCTGAAGGAATTGCTCGATTTTTATTTCATTGATGACTGTCGCCTCCCCTTTTCAGCTTCGCTTGCCTCTTTTTAACACGCAACTTTTTTTAGGTTGGGTGTCGCCGATTGCTTCAACTTCAAGCCCATTCTTCAGTCAGCTTCACTGACGGGTAAGTTCTAATGAGTAGCACTAGAATAACTGCGATTTGAGGGCGCGGATTTTTAAACCCAAGCTCGATTAATCGCCCCAAAGGCGCTGGCGAAAAATGAAGAAAAGAAGCACAATTAAAAAACAACGAACGTAAATGCGAGTTTACACAAAAAATTTACACACTGAGGTAAAAAAGAAACATTGAATCTCCTGTAAAAGACACAACTAGTGGAAGACACTAAGAGAGGCAGTTTTCATTGAACAAAAAATGTTCTCTTTTCCATCAGATGAACATGAAAAAACATTTGTCGAAAGTTCTCGTGTAATATGAATGTGTGGATTAGTTGCGGGGCCCGTTTGGGGTCAGTGAGTAAATTAGACGTCGCTTTCGGTGACACTCACACATTTTTATTGTCTATGCGAAAATATTGGCGATTCGTTGGCAATGGTGATAAAGCTGTCTTAAAATAACGCAAAACTGTAACATTGGAGAGCGTAATCGGTAGTTTGCAAGTTCATTTTTCCTGCAGATTCGTGTTGTAGTCGGAAACCCGTGCCAACTGTGCTTAATGTTCTATGGGTTTGTAGGTTTCGCACGGAAAACATCAAGGTGTTGGCATTTTTCATGTGGCCGTTGGTTGTAGCGCGAGATTTTTTTCTCAATTTTTCCGTCCGCCGATTTCAATTCATTCAACGCGATTATTTTGATTCGTAATCGATTCGACGGCCCCCAGACCTGGTCGTTGTTACGAAACGCACGTTTTCGCCGGTCTTTCGCAAGCCAAAGACCAACACATGTTCGCTGAAAGCACCTTAAAAGTGCACAAATTCGGCCAGATGGTGGAAATGTGGCCGTGAACCTCGCCCGACGTAAAACAAGGGGGTGAAATTGAATGGAAAAACACGGAAAAACGGGGGAAACTCAACCGGGCCATAAAATCCAATGGGCACAGGTCTGGAGGGCGGCCTGGTCCAATTAGCTATTACCCAGATGTTGCCAGGTGCTGGGAAAATATTCTTTCTGCCAGCATTTTCCCCACACACCGTTAGACAATTTACATGTGTTTTCATCATGAAGCCAGCACGCATTTATGGGGCGACCTCAGGAGATCCGAACGCAAATTAGGGCACTTTCCTGATGCTTTGCATAATGCCATTCAATTTAACCGGCGGATTTCGTGACGATAAGAGAGCCCCGAATCGTTTAACTGGGCTTGATTTAGTGCATTCCTGACTTTAATCGGGCAGTGGCATGATATTGGCCGCCCTCCCCGAACTTTAAGCGCTTAATCTAGTAGCAAATGCAATACTTACGGGGCATTATTCCCTGCGCCACCAACTGGTCCAACGGCCTCCGCATAAGAAGCTTCACCTTGAGGGCTGCAACAGAAAGAAAACACCCCCGATTAGAACGACAAACACCCACACTTTGTCAGTTTTTTGCAGATTCCTGGCCACTAACCTAGAGGAAAAAAGCAGTAAATCTCTGTTCATTTTGGGCGCCTCAACACGGTCAAACAGGCGTTTGTCCGTTTTGATTGCGGGGGTGGGATTTTTTTTCGAAAACTCTCACTAACTGGCACTGGAAAGTGGCGCTTCCAGAGCGGCACTTTTGATCGAAAACCGCGAAAAGCCGAGCAGATGTTCTTCGGACGACCAAATGGTGTCTGTGTCGGTCCGTCAAGGTGACACGCACCTCTTGCGAAAACCACTGATCGCACTATTAAAGCGAAAATAATAAACAAGCGAATACAATAATAATAAAGGCGACTTTTCGGAAGCGGGCGACCAAATCGTGGTAGGCTGGGCGCCCCCAATGCGAAGGCGTCAGCTCGTTTTTTGACAGTTGGCATACGACACTCTGATTGGTTGGGCGACTCGATCAGTCGATTGATTGGGTTCAATCGTCAGTCCGAAGTTTGAAGGAAAAATTCCCAATTTTCACTCTTTCCATTGGGGTCTCTTTCTGCTTTTGTCTTCGCCTGTCGTTTTTCTTTGCCGTTTATTATCAAGATATTAAATACAAGCAAAAAAGCGTGAAGACTCTTTTTTATTTCAGTGCAAAAACCTTTCAAACTGTCTGATTTATCATTTGTTCTTCTCCTGCCACCATTGTCAGCTTTGTTTGTGCGCCATATCAACTGCTTGCAGATGATACAGCCATGTCTGCAAACGCGGCAGAAAATTGCAAATAATGTATAACTTTTGACTAAGAAAATATAACTTTTGAAAGGCAACGGACTGGAACAGATTCCAAGATTTTTTAGAGGCGAATTGATGCAAAAGCAACAATAAAATCAACTACTTACTAAATTGAATTTTTTGCTACATTTTGGGGGTAAACATATTAGCAGAGAGCGTTGAGGGTCTCTATTAACGACTTCCCCCCGTAATTTTGAAAAACCGACTAATCAGCTGCAGATCCAGAAAAAAACCGCAAAAAAATCAAACAACACATACCTGTATGGGCCAAAATGCAGCAAAGATAAGGTGCCCCAACAATGCACTTGTTCGGCCAAAAAATGCCCACATTAATGAAAAATTGATAATGAATTACTTGTTTATAAAACCATTTTTAACTCCAAAATCGGTATATCTTATCGCTTGGATCGTCTCGCGGTGGGGATCACAGAACGATATTTTGTGATTGGTTATCGTCGAGTTTTTTGGACGGTTTTCGCCTGCCATTGGTCAATCATTCACCGGAGATCGCATTTCGATTTTTCGCTTTATATGGGCTCAAAAAAAAACGCGGGCTGTCTGGCTGGCTCACCTCTAGTGTTTCATGTTCAAATGCCGTAAAGGGTTGGTTAGCTATCAGCCGTCCAGATTCATCACGGATCAGGAAAATGTCGGTTCGAAACATCCGAATTTGCATATTAATCTGCCCCATGTTTGGAGTGTTATTGACTTTGTTGTCATATCAATCCGTTTCGGTAGAAACCCGAACTGATGACGAACGCTTCGAAACGTCGCAAATGTGTCGGATCTTCCCTGAATTGGACTTTAGATGCGAGAAAACAAGCCAATAGCCTTTTCCAAGAATGGATCGTAGCGCTTCCATAGTAAATAGAAGATAAGGGACGGCATTGATAGTAAGCGATTGAATGCAAACGTTTTTTAGTAAGCATGTATTTCCCGTTTGATTAATGCTGATAATGACAATTGCCCAATAAATTACATCCGGATTATATGTGCGATGCGTCCAGTATAAGGGTATTAATCATCAGCCATTTAAAGACATGCAAATTTCTGCGTGGGTTTGGCCGGTTTTCTCCCCAAGTAAAAAACAGTGTTTTTTCTGCAACCCTCTGCAGATTTTCTTCCCCAGGACCCTGGCGATGGCGCTGTTTCGAAACTTGGGGCCTGTGTGAAACATGTCTTCTTCCTGCTGTTGGAGGAAGCATGAAAGTTTTACCTTCAACTGGTCCAGAGACATGATTGTTCGAAAAATGTCTGTTGTAGCTGTGTTTTCTTACCAAACTATTGGATGATGGCTGGGATTCGAAACTTTTTATTCACCTACAACGAGTTCTCTAAGCTGTTGAGGAAAATCGCGATCTACTTTCTCCAACTAGTGCAAAAAAATTAGTTTACCAAAAAGCGGCTATTTGAGTCCTTCAATGCGAGCGCATCTTTAGGGCTTCCTCCCCAGATGATGACTCAAATTCGAAACTTTGCCAAGGTATACAGCATTCCTATCTATTCTATCTGCTGGACAAAATCCCCCAATTGTTTCACAAAAGGGCGTTTTTCCAAAAATATGCGAAGACTGGACTGGTTCAGGCGTATTTTTAAACATTTCTTTCTAGCTCTTTGACTGATGATGGCTTTGACTTGAAACGTTGCCACTGTGTACAAGATGTCTTTTTCGATCTATTGGGAAAAACACTCACTTTTCCGCCCGACGGTTTTTGAGAAACAATTTTTTTCATAGGTTCCGCGTTGCCTCATAAATCAGGAAAACTTTTGACTTTCCTTTCTAACTGCCTGATGATGGCTCTAGTTCGAAACGTTGCCACTGTGTACAACGTGCTTTTCTCTAACTGTTGGAAAAATCCGTGAGTTTCCATCTTCAATTGCTTCAGAAAAATCCACTTTGAAAACTGGCACGTCAAGTTATCACATAGAAACCTTTCGTTCTTCTTCTTCAGGTTCTTGATGATGGATCTAATTCGAAACGTTTGCTTTATACACAACGTGCGCTCTTCCGTCTATTGAAAAAATGTCGATTTTTCGTCCACAACTGGTTCAGACGTATATTAAAGCGTTCATTTCTGGCTCGTTTACTGATGATGGCTTTAAGTCAAAACTTTGCCACTGTGTACATGTTTTTTCTATATCTATTGTAGAAAACCTTAAGTATTCGTCTTCAAGGGATTCAGAGAAATAATCCTCCCAGAACTGGCACTTTAGGTTGCCTTGTACGAACCATTTGATCTTAGTCACGTGCTTGATGATGGCTTCATTTCGAAACTTTCGGTTTAAATCCAACATTCCTTTTTCTGCTATCCACTGAAGCAAATCGCGATTTTCCATCCGTTGGAAGGATCCAAGTTGGCTCTTTAGATTGTCTTCAAAAGTCGTTTCTGAACCCTTGATGATGGCCCCGATTCGAAACCTTGACAGTGCACACAACATGGCCGTCTTTATCCATTGAAAAAATCCTCAATTTTCACCCCCCGATTGGGTTGGAGGAAAGATTTTTCCAAATATTTTAGCGCAGTTGCCTGATTGGCGATTTGGGCAATTTTCAATGATTTTCCCCAGACTCCCTGATGATGAACGCGATCCAAAACTTTGGTGGTTTGGAGATGAAAATCTCGTCTATCCAGTGCCAGGAAAATTCAAATTCCCAGCTGAGACACATTGAAAGATCCGAATTTTCCTGTGCTATTTGTATTGAGTCAAGCGAATCAATCAAGCCGCAGCGAAATGGGAGTCAATCAATCCGAATTTCAACGCCACATTTAGCTAAAGGGAACTTTGAACTGTGCATTACGCGAAACCGGTTCTAATAAATTCGTTTGGCTCCAAATTTTTGGCAGATTATACAATTAAAGATGGAAAAGCTAAATATACGTCCTACTCTCGTGCGCTCCACTGCCATAACTCACCCGCCTACAATTTGTTTTTGTCGGACAGTGTAGTAATTTGATTACTTACCTGCTCGTTCTGCCGTATTTTCGGGCAAAATTATGTGTTTGTCTCCCGAAAAACAGCCAGATTTGCTGTACGCTCGCAAAAATCGAAAGCTACAAGATTAAATGTGCGATCAACCGACGGAAAAAAAGTGACACCCAAATTCGAAATTCCTGCTTTTCCTCACGTCCGGGCCTATTTATTCTTAGATGCGCTGATAATTGTCACACGTACCATTTGGGATTTTAAAAATATTTGTGCCATTTACGAAATTTGCGCTCCATTGGCGTGCGAAATCTTTCAATCGATAGGTGGATACTCACATTCTTTGTTTTGGTCCATAAGGATGGGCGACGTGTCGATGACCGCCTTGGGGGGCGACTCGCGAAAGGGCGAGGGCGGTCGGCCGCCCCCGGCCCCCAGCCCACTCGATCCGCCCTCCGCCATCTTATCCTTAAACCACTCTGGATAGATGGCTGAAATCGTGTCCACCAAGTCTCTATCCAGCTGCAGCTGCCAATAACCGCTGCCTGGTTCACTGCGGTGACTCGATTCTGGAAAAAATACAACAAAATTCAAGTGTGCCAAATTGCAAAATCCTCAATCAATCAGTCAACTGCAAACTTGGCTGGAATAATGGAAAAACAAATGAAGAAACTCGCTTTTTTCAGAGATTTTACGTGTGTCGAAACTGACGTTCCATAGATTGAAAATTGTCGTTAAGTGCGCGCTAATTCACCACCCACGTGCATTTTTCCCCGATCAAAACAATAATCGCGGCCTGAGGAAGGTCACGGATTCCGAAACGGTTAGCAGGCAAGGCTGCAACGAGGTGTATTTGGATTAAAATCAGCACCAAAACTACACCGACCAGGTGAACTGAATGTGGTTTTCCGCACTCATGTGAACGGGGGCGGAAAACTCGTTTAAAAACGAGAACCTTGATTGGTTTGCACACCGTAGATTCAATAGGAAGTATAGATGGAGCCCAGTTCATTCATGAACGCTTATTTTCATCAATCGCTTCCCCGGTCGTTGTTTCAAATTGAGTTTTTTTGGGAAAAATTAGTTCCTCAAGCAAGTGGCTTGCATTTTCAGGGGTGG